ATACTGTCCTTTAGGAAATCATTAATAAAAATGTCAATTTTAAGAAATACCAAAGTTCGGCACCTATCACGAAGAAAGGAGATTATCAATATAAAACAACTTTGATTATTTGTGTCAGCCTTCTACAGACTGAAGTTGTACATATCAGTGTGCATCACTTGCATGAAAGTCTTCCCTATATCCCCATTTGCTTATTTTACTTTGTTGTCACCCATTTCATTTAGGCAACAATGTTTTAATGTTAGAGAAGATTTGTGAAACTAACTTTGTTGCCACAAACAAGGCAATCTGTAGAAAAGCAAGAGAGGATACAAAGAACACAAAGTTAGACGAGGACTGGAGATGAACGTGGGAGTGGGACTGATAGTACTAAGTGATTATACTGAAGAAAAAGGGAATTACCTGACTGAGATACTTGTAGCTTTTAATGTGTTCAAGGAAACAATATAAATGGAAAAAAACCTAACAATTCATACTTCTGAAATGTTTCCTTTCAGGAAGGAAATATTTAAGATTCATTTTTAGAAGATTTTAGCAGTTTAAAAAGTCTTGTAAGGTATAGTAGTGGAAATACTATTCAAGTTATAATCAAACGTGGTTGGTACCAGTAGGAATGGTTCCATCAAATGCAGACATTAAGTGGATGGTCCTCATAGTCATTTACTGTTTCTCATTGGGTGAGTCCACTCAAGTTTGCTTTTTTATTTCTTTTTGTCATTATGCAGTCTGATTTACTGCAAGGATCTTCCTCTGCATTTGCACATGCTGTATGTGTGTGTGCAGGCTTAAGATTACATTGATTCATGGGCAGGGCTGAACCCACTGAGTCACAGATTTGTTATGCAGAGGAAGAGGATGATATTCCTGAAAATGTGAATAGGGCTTGTTTTGGGCTTATGTCGGGTCAGTCAGGAAGTTTACAGTTATTGCAGTAGGAACTCCTGCAAAACCTGCCAGTAATCCACAAATTAAAAAAAAAAAAGCCAGGTTTTCTTTTTTTCTTTTGTTTGTTCCCCACCACCACCCCCTGCCAAGGAAAAATAGAGAATTAGAAAGAGCTTCACAGGGTAGTACTAATATGTGAGTTTAGGTTATTCTGTGAGATGTTTCCTCTACCAAGAAGGATGGCAGGGGAGGGATTAGCTTCAGTGTCCCCTGCATTTGCTGTCTTGTGTAATTATGGGAAATGCATTCAGTGTGCAAGGGTATCATTGCTGTCCTGCTGTTCTATCATTTCTTTATGAGATAATGTTGATTTCAGCAATGAAATGCAAATTTAGTTTACAGTGCTCCTTTTCTCTGTATAAAGGTTAAAATGCATATTATAGATAATACTGTTGGTGCTTTTGAAACAGTCTTTGTCAGCTAATATCAGCAATACATGGCTTTAAATGCTGTTCGGTGCAACTGCATGAGTTTTATGTTGGCCTTAACATGAATGAATTTTAACCCAACATGCATGGTGTTACCATTTTGGCTATAATTTGATCAAGTCATCATAAAACCTTGGTACTGACAAAAAAAAAATTTGGCTGTGTTAAGGATATTTAATATATAGTGTGTCTTCTGCATGTTATGGCAAACTGAACATACAATTACTCAAGTTGAGCCATCTTAATTCTATAATACTAAAATTTGCCTAACACAGAGGGCTAACATATACTCCTAGGAATGTAGATGCTAATGAATTCTGTGTTTGAAGAGTATATTTCTGTTTACTTACAAACAAATAGTTTGTATTGCTGGTGATAAAAGGGCTCGGAATTTTAACAAGTCCTGTTACAATTAGCCCCAGTGTAGATTATGGACAGCTCCATTTACTAAATGCTGGGACTCCAACAGCAACGGAATACATGCAAGAATGGAAATAGTTTTCAGCTAGCAAGCAAGTTCTAACATAACACAAGGCCAGTACTAAGGGAAGTTGTCTTTTTTATTGTTATCTCTTTAATTTATCTCGCTTTCCTGTGTAAACTGCTCACTATTGTGCAAAGAGAGGGTGTGTGTTAACTTTGGTGACATTGTGTTACTCCCATTAAGTAGCGCTGTACACAGTTTTTTTCAGCATGAGTGTAGGATTATTTTTTTTTCCCAAACTACATGAACCAGATAATGTTTTGTTCTGTAACTAGTAACAAATCTCTTTTCTACTTTAGGTGGCACAGCAATAAATTTGCTGTCGTGGTTAGTAAAAAGATTATATAGAAAAAGGAGTGTGGTTGTTTAATATATTTAGTATGAAAGAGTAAAAAGGTGGGGGAGAGGGTTTTATGAAATGAGGTGTTCTGTTGTAAACAATAATGGAAAACAGCTCTGAAAATGCTGAGTTGGAGTAATGGATGAATAATCTCTAAAGTTTATCAAAACTGAAAGAACTCCCGATGTGAAATGAAGCCTCTTAAGAAAATTCGGTTCTGTCGCTGTTTTGCTTTGCTGTTGTCGCATGTCACGCATGAATGAAAATGCTGCATTCTCCGGGGAGCGGTAAAGCTTCTGTGTAGGTTGTTTATTTCCTTAATCCCTCCTTCTTCGTGATTTCCAATGTCAGATATAAAATGGAAAGCCTGTAAATACAGTGATTATCATACTGATTATCACCTGCATCAGGGAACGCCCTGGCTGGCCGCTGTAACCCTAGCAGTCTCCGCGTGTTACAGCCACTTAGATTTTAACCTGACTACTTTATTAGGGACGTGAGGCTCAGTATGAGGTGCCCTAGGGCTGCACAGATGGGGTCTGCTTGTTTCCTGTTCTCACTGTTATTGCGAACGGATACTAAAAGGTTCTCATCGCTTTTATCTGGTTAATTTACTTTGAACTGTCCCTGGCGTTCAGGGCCTGCCTCACGTTTCTCACCATTTTGCAAATGCCAAACTGTAATGTCCAAACGTGTGTTTTGAGCTTTATTATCTTTTTTACTGGAAGGGCCTTAATTCTTAAAGGGGTGTAATTCTTAGAGAGGCTGATTCTTAGGGGCTTATAGGAGACCTATAGATGCAGACCTGACTGAAAGAAGCTGCTCAGGAGTTTCTCTGAGGTTTGGTTGATGGGAAAGAGGAAAATTAAGATCAGTGCTGTTCTTTGGCACGTTCAGACACCCTTAGATTAGTGGTCAACTGCAGGAAAATCTATGGTTGTATGCTAGCTACCATTATTCATGTAGCCAGGCAGCAGACCGGGCTAAAAGATGACGCTCTAACAAGAAAATCTGAAGACGAGATACTTTTTAACAAATGTGCAATCATTTATCCTTTCTTGTGGAAGGGCCAGGTCTTTCAAACCACATGTGCTATGCATGGGTGCCCCAGTACAGAAAATTAAGATGAATTCTCTCAAAGTCTCCCACATAAGGAAACACTACTTAACTAGAGTAGTTTTTATTTCACAGATGTGAGAATATACTGGTGTCCAGTTTCCTGGCCAAACAATAGTTTAACACAGATGTTAATGTCCTGCTGCATTGGGACATTAAAGAAATCCCCTTAGGACAGATCAGTGTAACTTCTGATTTCAATTGCATGACCAAAAACCTGAGGTTAAAGAAGTAATTTGGCTACAGTGTGTAATTTTTATTCCATTTTCTTATTCTCTGCGCCCTTATAACTCCCTTCTTTTCTTTTCTTTTCTTTTTTTTTCCCCTGTGTCTCGGTCCTATTTGAGGCTTTCTTGATTGTGTTGCAGTTCATTGTAAGTGCATCACTTCAGAGCAGAAGCTTGCAGGCTCCTTTTTTCATATGAGCATAGGCTTTGTTAATCACATGCTGGTTTAGGAAAACACTGCATGATATCTTTGAACCCTACACTCCTTCTTGACAGCCAGGCTAGCAAATGTCATTGACTGTGTGATGTACAAGAAGGAATTCAATTGTAAGTAAATTGTCAAAGTGGCTAACCTTGCCCGCACCCAATTGTCAGGACCATGATTCAGTTTTTCTGTCAACATCAGCTAAGGCTAACCCGGTCAGCCTTATGTTTCTGCAGTGAAGCAGCCTGAGGAGTTGTGCTTTTCAGCTTATCACATTTTATTAACCTCAACTTACTGTTGTTATAATCAATTGTACCCACTTCAAATTCTTGTATTGCCCCCAATTGCCAGATCATATAGGTCCACGAGTATGTATTTTCTGCAGCACTAAAAGCCGTCATAGGGACACTGGACTTAAATGGGTTGGTACGGTAGTTAATTTTGCTTAGTTGGATCAACTCACCATTTTGGCTCAAGACTTACCCCTCTATGAATATCACTTGGTAAAGATAATCTGGAAGAATGCAAGTAAAACCATAAAGACTTCGGGGGTTTTCTGCAATATTTGCAATGTTAAGGTAGAAAGTGAGTAAGGGAAAAAACATTGCTGTTGAATTCTATCTCCTTGCTTTTATTTAAAAACAGATTTTAATTGCTCCAATTAATATAAATAAGAAATGAGGACATTCTGATACCCTGATGTTTCCTCTGTTCTTTCAGGAAAAGAACATAGTTAAATTGCCTAAAGCAGTGATTAAGACATCAGAGTATTTTAAAACGCTCATCTGATTCCATCACACGGGTTTGAACACATTTTGTGATCCTATTTTTTTAATGCAACGTAGGCGATAAATGATTTTTTTAAATGGCTTGATAACCTGTATCCCATGAAGTGCCATACCTAAATGGAGAGAGGATACAATTCCAATTAAAAATATGTCTGAAGGATGTTTGTCTGGATTTGAAGTAGTGGTTTCCTAGTCAAAGTCCTATCTCCAGAAGTAACTTTCCTTGCCTGGAAAAAACGTATTGTACCTTCTTTATTTGAACTTGTGAAGTGTGTTGACATTGTACTGTTGTTGAGCTTGAGGGAAGGAGGGGGAAGCTTTTGGTGCGACTATCAGAATTGAACAACTGTATAAGGGTATATTGAGATAATGGTGTAAAAGGAAAACTGGCTGAATGAGTTTCAAAATGTGTTATTTCTTCATTATCTAGCACTTTATAATTAACTGTTCTTTTTTTATTATTTCAGGAAGCTGCCACTTTTGCTAGAGAGCAAGGCTTTGAGGTGAGTTAACCCACAATTGCACACTAAACAGATCCTAAAGGTTTTTTTTCTTGCTGATAATGAAGTTCTTTTGGACAATGATTGATGTGCTATTATACTCTCCAAGCCTCGCAGCGGTTGCCATGGAAACTTGGCAGTCGTCATGGTTTCTTTGTTCTGCCAGCTCAGTGTTATGACGCACTCTGCTAGGTCTGCACCCAACATCGCCTACAGATGTTATTTATTGAATTTTGAAAAGCCTCTTGGGAAGCCGAGAGGTTGGGCACGGTTTCAAGCTGCCTCTGCAGATATGGGACCTGTCAGTTTGTTCAGTTAAAAAGCTACCTCATTAGCTGCATTACGCTCCGTAAGGATTCACTGCTAAAGCAGTGGTGAAGCAAGACTAAATAGTGAAATACAACACCGCTTAAATAACTTAAACCCTGCCATATGTGGATTATCATTATGCAAATGAATTGTAGAAAGGTTGTATATAAAATTGTTAGGTACTGATTAATGTAAACCATGCTTCTACAAACAGCTTCTTTTAGAAGGGGTAGTGTGGAATTTGTGTTTCAAAACATATTCGAGTTGGTGTTTTCCATCTGTGCTCTAAAAATGTATGATCCTCTACTTTCTTGAAGTAAACACCGTTGGTTTTACAGTGATTTTCAGAGCTGTCGATTTAATTTTCTTGAGGTATTTATTTGAATAGTATCTCCCACTGGCTAAATTCAGATAACTTAATCTGGAGAGCTATCAGCTAGTGGTCTCTAATGCTGAATTCAAATAGGCAGGTTTTAAATACTATAATTAATGTGACAACGGTTGTGCTAATTTTGCAGATAGTAAGTGATCTTACTGAAAGCTAAATTGCAGAACTGAACACACATACATCCTCTTACATGTTTTTTCACGGGAATAAGACCCACCTTAATTGATTTGTTTGCAGTGTGAAAGAATAGAGAGGAGTTTGACTGCTCAACACCCATTTTGCATAAATAATAGAAGCCGCGCAATTCAAACCGCACCGCTTTAAGAACATGCCACTTTTGTGTGTGGATGGTTGCATATAAAAAAGAGGGAAAGACTGACGGCTTTTGTTCTACAATTAGATTTCTTTAGAACCATACACCAGCAGGTACATCTATGCCATCAGCGTTTTAGATATTAAAACTGTGGGCTGTCCCATTTCATTTTATGTTTCCCAAATTCGTATGGCTGCTTTGTAGAAATCAAGACTTTTTATCACTGTCAAGTTTCATTTGTATAATCTGTATTGTTAGCATAAAAATACACTTTGAGTTTATTCTATCAAATGAATGAATTTCACAGATGCCTCCAAATATAATATGAAGCATAACAAGTTATTGGTACCCTCTGGTAGCTAGACAATAAAAAAAGAAAGGAAGTAGTGTATTAAGTCTACCCATTCTATATTTTTATTGCCCCCTTGAGCTAAAGACTTTGAATGTGCCTGGTTTAAATTCAGTTCTAGTGACAAACTGCTTTTGCTGGTGTCTGCTAACTACCATCATATTAACCTTTCCATTAGTGCTTGCTTAGAGATTCTAGCACAGTCCCTTCTGAACATCCTAAATCTGCCACATTTGATTACAGCATATCAGGAAAGTGCACAATGATTATGATCTTCTCTCTTATTACCCCCTTGCTTGGCAACAACTCACATGTCAAGTTTACTGACACAAATGTGTAAAACTTGATAAGTGTCCACAGTCTTGTTTTCCCATTGTGCTGTGGAGGCAAAAGAAAAAAAAAAACACAAAATGCACTACTAATAAAGTATCTTAGGAAAAACTTAAAGAGTCTCAATTAGCTTTTCAATTAAATACAAGAAAAATTTCCATTAACTCTCAAAAGCTTGTAAAACTGATTCTGCAATTTATATTAAGAATAGAGCACTGATGAAACACAGAATAGTAAAGGACTAGAGTGACCAGAACAAAAATCAAGAGGATATTTATCATAGAAGTGGTAGCTGAATTTGATTTGCAGCCTGGAATTTGATTTTTTTAACAAAAATAATCCAAAATCTTTTAAGATGGAGAATCAGTTGTGACTAGCTTTTTTCTTTGTCTTTTTTTTAATTGTCTCCTTTTCTACCTTCCAGTAATTTCAACAGTTTATGTGGACTAAATGCATCTTTTAAATACAGATTGAGTTAAGTATATCTGAAACAATTTTTGAAAAATAAAAAGTACAATCAAGTCAACTTCAGGAGAAAATACACCTTTCCTGAAGTAATAAAATCTTGCCGTATGTGGGAGAAAACATTTCCATGACACAAATTTGTTTTTTCTTTGTAAGAGAAACCATGTTCAAAGGAATTATTATTTTTATGCTTCGCCTTACCAAGAGTTAGTTTTCCATTGTACTTTGCTGAAACCCAAGGTATTTTTGTAAAATCAATCACGATATTTGAAGAACATTATTTCATTCATTTTATCTCTTGACCACACTTACCTGTAATAATCAAAAGTAGAACATTACTTCTGATGCAGTCTTTTCCTGGAGTGCTTTCTTTTTTGTGAATTTCGTGTTCTATGACATTTTAAAACTATTAAATAAACAGTAAAGTGCCTCATCCCAACTGTACATTGCAGTCATCTCAGTAATACATTATAATAGTCACAATTTTTATCCCAGGGAAGCTCTTGGACTTGCTTTCCCTTGAAGTGGTAGAATGGGTATCAGGATGTTTGTAATATGTTTGAAATAACAAAATTGCCAGGACAAAGTTTTATGAGGTTTTGTTTTTACAAAATGGTAACTTGCCGTTTATTCTGCGTAGGAATTAGGAAAACATAATCCTACTTTAACATAAAACTTAGGGTTCAATTCTGTCTGTCAACCCAAGAAGTAAATTGAAGTGAATGGAACGGTATGTATCTAAGGGGATAGTAGCAGCTGCCATGCAAAATAATTTTTCCTGTTAAGGGGCAGAGGTCTCCTCCTAACTATGTATCGGTTGGGGAGCCAAATTAGCGAGTTTTGGTACCCTGGATCAAATTCAGGTCTTCGAGTTAATGAGGTACACTGCACAGGCCCACTGTTTTCAGTGGATTTATGTCTGTTTAGGTCAGGGCTGTGGTAGTCCCAGCTATCGTGTATCTGTTCAGAGGCAAAGATCAGAAGACACAGTTTGACTAGCGGTTTTAATTGTATGCATTTTTTCACATACCGCTATCCGGTCCCAGGATATCTGGTGTACTTTCTTTACATGCATATTGCTTGCTGCAGTGAATGCCACATGCAAGGTTTTTCAGGTGCAGCGTCCATAGGCAAGTCATGCTTTTTTGAGATTTATATGTCAGCTTTGTTAAATCAGATTCAAGTGTATAACGGGATATGTGTGAGTATCCTGTGAATTTGGGACACGTTGTAGAGACTTCAGGACCACGAACCAGTACAGTCTGACCATTCAGCCATGATACTGGTTGTATAAGAAAGTCTCGAGAAGTGTGCAAATATGAGTCAGTGCAAAACAAATATTATTCATTTCTGCTGTTTGAAAATATTATATATATTCTGAACAGAAATAGGAGATAGCAACATTTCATGATGTTTGACTGACAAAGACAGGAGGGGCATAGTATCTCTGCAGTTTTAAGCTGAAATATTCACGTATTATAAAATGTCACAGTTGTACCTTCAACAGACCACATAATGGTAAGGTGGAGATAGAGTGTGGAAAAGCTAAAGCCTCCTCAACACTGAGATTGCAGCTCTTCCACTATGTAAGCTCTATTTTATTCTCTTCCTTTGAAAAATTTTAGTATAGAAAATGATTTTGGCTAAAAATGGCCAAGTTAATTCTCACAGAAGATACTATTCAGTTACTTTTAAAGTCTGCACAATCGGACACAAGTCTCCAAAGCACTCTTGTTTTGAAATTTCTGCTTTTTAAAAAATTATCTTTTTTCCCCTAAATACCTTCCTTCTACTGTTACATGCTTATTATATACTACTTCTTCCTGAAAACATATGTGCTTTTTACTTTCTTTCGCTATCTACTTTATTTCATCCTTTACCACCATTCTTCACTAATCTTTTTTTCCTCAGGGTCTTCTTTTCCTCATATAAGTTCATCTTTATTCTTCCTTAAACTGAAGAAATTATCTCTTGATCGTGCCATTTTTTCCTATTATAAATTCCTCATTTTCCTTTTAAAATTTAAAGTGCATGTAAATACATTGCACAAGTATCTTCAAGCTCCTTGATTTCAGTTCCCGCTTTGCTCCCCTGTAAATGTGCTTAATGAAGTCACTAGCAGCCACTTCCTACTTAGCAAAAACTAAGCACCTCTCTCCTGTTTCCTTTGATCTCCATGATGCTGAATTGCATTTTCTAGTTCACGGATCTCTTGATTATCAAGACCTGAAATAGTTCAGAATTTAGGTGAACCTTCAGAAACCTACATGTTACCAAGCTGGATGACTGTAATTTTCCGTCCATCGCCTATTCACCAACGTGTGGCACCAGCTGACACCTGCTATTCACAAATCTTGTAAAAAGACATTTCAAAACAGAAGAACAGCAATTTTAATTTTTCTCTTTGGCATCTTTAAGGGACTCCTTAAAGTCTTTTTGAGAATTAGGGGTAAGATGGCCCCTGCTCACTGTCCTCAGTCCACAGAGAGGGGTTCAACATTCTTCTCTTTCTTCTCTGGTACATTGCCTTCTAAAAGCTGTATTAACAGTCTAAGCAGGAGGAAGGAAGAAATAACACAAATGAGAGTGTAGTATATGGAAATTAAAAGTCTGAGAATTTAAAAAAGAGGTAAAGAGATCAAGAAGTAAGGGGAAATTACTTTTGTGTTTGGCAAATGTGTATAAATCAATGAGCACACTGACCACCAGAGTTGGGGGAGAAATCAAAGGAAGGCTAAGAGTATTGCAAAAGAGCTAGATAATTTTCACATAAATAGATACTGGTAAATATATAGCCCAGGCATATCCTCTGTCCATAATAAAGGTGAAGTGCTTGAAGATCAACAAGATTTTCAAAAATCAGCAAGCAACCTGGACTGAATGGTGTGCAGATTATAGTTCTTAAAGTGTTTAACTGACCTGCTGATGAAAAATAATCAACCTCTTGTTAAAATCATCAGCTGCAGTCAAAGTGGCACATACCGTACCTGAGTTTCAAAATAACACTATATGTTGATTTTGGAAGATAAAAATCAATTTATTAATAATATAAATTAATTGTAACAACTCTGGTGAATGGCTTGAAGCCTCTCTGGACAGCTTTATAAATGAACTCTATTCATTATGTGACTGTGTTAAAAAATTAGTTGGGATTCATAACGAACAGGACACAAAACAATGCAGACAGTATTGTTACGTTTTCATGTATTCAACGCTAGTCCCTCATCAAATCAGCTATGTTTCACTGTGTTGCTTGTATGCTAGAGCAAATGGGGGGAAGAAAAGTATGGTGCTATTTAACAGAGATATGAATAAAGTGGGACATGGTAAGTAGCACAGAGCATAATTATAGTCTTTCTTACTTTTCCTAATGTTAAAAAAGAAAAAAAAGTATAAATAATGGCAAGAAATAGGTTTACATATACCAAAGTTAATTTATATAACTTACTGACTTGAGAGAAATCTGAGAACAAAAGCTTCCCACATAGCATTATAAAAGGATTTGATGCTTATACAAATAACAGGAATACCTATCTTTAGATTAGATTGAAAACTAAGTAAATTAGAAATTGAAATCCTTGTGTCTCAGATCAGAGGGCAACTATGAGAATAGGAAGGATAATATTCTAATGACAGGGTGTGCTGTTTGGATGGATGAGGGTTTTGGCTCAGTATGGCAGTTTCTCTGTTCCTAGCTGCATGCGCCGTGGTGTGCGGACGCAGTCCCTTCAAAGCAAAGATCCCTGAAATTTTTGCAGCTTAGCCTTACTTCAGAAAATCGGGGGTGTTCTGTGCCCCACTGAATATAGGCTTCACCCTTGGCTTCTGTGCATCTCAATTATGGAACCAGCTAGTGAGCACAGAGCATATTCACCTGGGCTCCCCACTCCAAGGTGCTGCAGCGTACAGTCAGTTTACTTGCTGAGATAGTTGCTGTAGGGAGGTTAGAGAAACAGTATTTGTAATCCTGCGGAAACCAGAGGGATTATAGTGCTATAAAACCTGGCTAAATTGGGTGAAAATCAGGCTCAGACTTTATCCAAAGTATTCTTTCACCAATTTTATTTTTAATTTTATGATAGGTAAAGGTAGAATCCAGTCAGCAGCAAAGCAAGCCACTAATTACTCGTTAGGAAATGCTCTGTAATTCCTTTGTTAGCTTTGCAGTTTTGCAGCAATTGGAATAGGTGAACTGTCATTATCAAGATTAAAAACAATGGTCTCATAGTACTACATAAATCCTTAGGAGAATGAAGTATTCCTCCTTTTAAAAATCTTCCTCTGCTGACAATAAAGTCTATTTTATACCTAGCCATAAGAAAATAAATCTTTGATCTGCTAGTAAAGTTCTAATCTTTCACCAAGCTAGTATGCTGGTAACAAGAATTTTCTTTCTATTAATAGACTGAAGACATTAAAGAGATAGCCCGGAAGACACAAGCCCTGCCGAAGGTGAACACTAAAAGGCAACGAATCGTAGTCTTTACCCAGGGGAAAGATGACACTGTAATGGCTACAGGTATATTTTTCAAATCTGTGTTGTCGCTCACAGTAAATATTCTAGTTAATCAATTAGAAGTTGTGGTTTTACAAATTATAACTGTTAAATGGTAGTCAGAGCATTTGCCTTTTGATGCTAGTCCGTGTTTCTCATCTGTTATGCTTTTAATTGTTTTAAGATTCTTAATTTGAGAAGTTAATATTTCACAGGAGTGCCTGAGAATTTAGTTCTGAACATCTTAAGTTCTTTTTTTATAACATAGATCTAAAATATTGATCCAGTTGGTTTTACTCAGATTTTTATGACTTGAGATTTTATCTGTGTAGCCATCTTTGCTGCAAACAAGAACACGCTATGCCTGCTGAGAACAGCTGTGCAACAGTATAGTATATTTAAACATTTGTGGAGAGGAGGAAGTGAAATCCAGTACTAAGTGAATTTCCAGGCTTTTTTGCTTTGAGCAGAAAGTCTCACTTGAGCTTTTCTCAGCCGTCTGCTCTTCTATTCTCAAAGGAGTATGTGGGAAAAAGGTGTTCTACCAGGGATACAAGTAGTTTGTGCTGTCTAAGTTGATGATGTACGATGCACAGATTTAAGCATTATAAACATGACTGCCTACCTTTTGACAGTCTCTTTAATTCTGTCCACCTATGCTTCTAGACTAAATAAAGCTATTAAAAACATGTGCTGTGGCAAGCCATTTTAGTCATTCATTCCTTCACAAGGTAAGTCAAGGCTGAATTCCTCCTTTGGAAATCAAGTGAAGTTGAGGAAGCTTTGCACCTGAGGGACCGGTGCTTACTCATACGATATTTGCCTCAAAATCAGAATTGGCTTCAGACTGTGGCTGCAGGGCTAGGTACTAAGTAGGTATGTCACTGCTATATAGATCATTCTTAGCAGCAGTTTGAATGATTTCTCCAATAGTTTGCTTCTTCCTCTATTTTGTTAGCTACAAACTGGTTTAAAGGAAATAGGAAGCAGTCATTGGGAGCTGGGTATGTGTATCTCGCTGAATAATGAGGGAAGTGTTGCTTCCAGGAAGTTACTGCATTATATGGATGGCCCACATGGAGGCACTCCACTTGAGTATTGTACAGTTGGCTGAAAAATAGCAGTATCAAAATGTTTTTATATACGAGCAAGTAGTAACAGTAGTAAACCTAAATCTTAGATGTAACCCTCCTGTTCTTTTATTTAATTTTCACTGTGTACTTATTTTATTCTTCAAACTAGAGTTGTTAACAAATCCATTAATCCCTTCTTTGATATTTTTACAACTGGGAGCTTATTTGAGGACTGACACTTGCTAATCTTAGCTGTTTGTTCGCTATGAAATGAACTTAAATTAGAGAATGCACTTTATATGCATGATAAATGCAAGATGGATAGAGAGTGTATGCAATGGTGTCAGCTACAAAAGCAAACATGATAAATGTTAAGGCAGTTTTGAGCCGTGGGATAAGCTATTCAGTGCACAAGCATAGCTGAATCTCTTTGCTATGTTGTTATTCATGGCAGCCAAATAAATGTCAATAATAAAAGAGAATTAAAGATTTTCATTTCCCAGAGGCAGTCCTCTAATACAGCTTGATCTTTCATTTCATTTGTAATTCGTTCTCATGTCAGGATGCAATCATTCGCCAGGCTCTGTGTGTCATGTTAAGTCATTTAATAATGATTAAGAACATAAAAATGTTTGGCCTGTGGGGCAATTCTCAAAAGAGATACCAATTTGTTATTGTTTTCCCCCTTTTTCCTTCCTTTGGTGTAGATCATCTTTTTCCCACCTCCTCACATTAAAATAATAATGAAAGAAGGAAAATGTGTCCCTTAATTTAGCATATGATGATACCACAGATTGGCATAGACTATTGCTAATACACTTATTTCAACACTAATTAGGTCTAGTTGTGCTTTGAAACTTGCAGTGAAAAGTGTAAAAAGTTTCTAAATGATCTCTGGAAGAACTGCTGCATTTAGGAGTAGTTACCAGTATAAAATTAATTTCCTTTCTCTAAGAAGAATAGAGGTTTTTTTAAAAAGCAGGCTGTGTGTAGTTGTTTATCCTGCCTTTATGGTCTATATAACAATATATATGAGAATATATAACAATATATATTACAGTATAAATATAACAATATAACATATATAACATATAAATAGAACAATATAAAATAGAAATACAACAATATAACATATCTAACAATATATATGAGAATATATAACAATAATTCTCAGTAAGTTTGTGCCTAGATTAAAATAGTATTTGCAAAGTCAGATATAGATTTGGACATGCTTGTCACTACCTTCTGCTTTATATTTTGTCCATAATGAGAACATGTTTATTAGTTGAAAGATGTTTCTGTCAGTAGTGACACAAGCAGAAGGGATCAGTATCCGGGCAAAGGACTCTATTCTTCCTTTCTTTCCTTCTACTGCTGCCTTTAACCATCCTTTATCATCTGTTGGGAGTATCACATATTCCAGTGGTCTCTGTTTATGTCCTCTGAAAGAGCACAGGATGGAGCTGGAGCTTACAGGTGTGAGAGTAAAACCTCCAAGGTGAATTTGGCCTTTGTGGTTTTTCTACCTTTTTTTTTGCCTCCACCTCTTGTCCATTTTCCCCACAGAAGGTCTTTGCTGTCTGTCAGCAACACGGACTGTCCAGCAGTGAGCCTTCGGAGTAGAATTGAATGGCTTGGACTGGGCTGCGCGCTGTGGCAAGACACAGCCGGATGGCCACCCCTGCTTCTTTCCCTTCCCCTTGCCCATGCCAGACAAGATGAGAAAGGAAACATGGAGGGCCTAAGAGCATCCTTAACAGCACTCCGTTTCCTCTGTCAGACAAAGGCTCTGTGTACTGTCGAGGACAAGACAGCCGTGGGGCTAAGTTGAGAGGGGCTGGGTTACGAGAGGAGGAGTGCACCTCTTCGGTGAGTTACATGTAGGTTGAATGGGGGATCAGGTAATGGAAATAATGAGGGGATACACTTTGATACAGCTCTGGCTGGAATGAGAGGAAATAAGATGGGTTAAAGGGGTTCCTGCAGGTTGCCAGCTCATTCATGAAAGGGCACAGAATTATTTGTGATGGAAATTAGATGGGGAATTTCTTGGGTTTTTTTGATGGGATGAGGAAGACCAAGTACAGCTCATCACTACACGTGGAGAGGACTGTGGTGACAGTCGTTGATTCCTGGATACTCCAGAGAATGGAAGTAAGACAGATAAAACATCTACTTCCTACAGCAGTCTGGCCCAGCCATAATGCAAAGATGTTCAGTCAGCTTATGAATTGCTGCAGTTTGCACAACATTGTTTTAATGCCACCAAAAACACTGGTGGCTCACCTCAAATAGACCACGGGTTGCAGACACTCAGGCACAGATTGGCAAGCAGCTTAGAAGTCCATGCAGCTGGAGCAGATCATAAAAACGGTGAGAAGCAATAACTGCATCAGCAGTCCTGATCTAAGCCGTTCTCATTTGTCAGTCCACTTTCCTTGGCTGTCTGAATTATTTGTGTTTTCAGAGGAAAATTTTCTATCTCTTTATCATGGAGTACATTGGGTCTTTCTACTGTCTGTTCATATCTCCTCCATCACAGTACTCCAGCCCCAAGGCCCATTTTCTCTCCCCTTCCTTCCTGTTCTCTGTCAGTAGGAATAATTGCAAGGAAGAGGCAAGCTCAAATTCAAGTTGAGTGTGATCAGTGTGTTTTATAGGGAAGGAAAGGAGTGTTTAGGATTGGCACACAGGAGCTGTGGCAGATGACATGTTGATTAAATTAACTATCAGCTTCTAATAAGACTCCACAGAGCATGTGCAAATGATCGTTGTCTGAAGTTTTCCTCTTCACGTCATAGAATCATAGGATGGTTTGGGTTGGAGGGGACCTGTAGAGGTCATTTAGTCCAACCCCCCTGCAATGAACAGGGACATCTTCAACTCACTGAGGTTGCTCAAAGCCCCGTCCAGCCTGACCTTGAATGTTTCCAGGGATGGGGCATCTACAACCTCCCTGGGTGACCTGAGGTGCATTTTTCTATGATGTCAATTTTTTAATCTTTTTACTGAAGAACTTGGAGGCATTGGATCTTCTCAGAGACCTTAAGAATTAGCATTGACAAAAACTTTCTGATTTTCTCTAGCATCAGTCCCCAACATGACTGAATTTTGATAAAACTCTCTTGAAAAAAAGTAGCCTGTGAGAGATGCCTGTGATGAAACCTTTCAGTACAGAGGATTATGGTTTAGAAAAGGTACCGGTAACTGGTAACTGAAAATAGGATCTGTGGACGTGCTTACCAGAAAAGTTTATCTGAGGAAGAGTATTGGGTTAATTCCTTGTGTGGACGCTCCTTGTCCATACTGGGAATTACTTGGCTATCAAGACTCTGGCCCCACTACCACAGCCTTGTTCCGTCGTATGTCTCTTCCCATGCCTGAGATTCTGAATTTGATTTCGGGTTCCTGAGCTTATGGGATACATTCATTTCATGTTTCAACACTTCTTTCTGTAACCACAAAAAATACATATGCAGGGAAAGTGGGGAGAGTTAATGAACACATGCAATCTCCTGATTAAAGCAGCTGGAGCTTTTAAGAAACACACCAAAAAACACAAGCTCTGGCAAGTACATATATGTCATATCTACATGTGCGCTATAACATTTGTCAGAATCAAACGCTGTGAAAGCTATCCCTTTTACAGAGTTGCTCATAACATTTTTAAACAAATTACTTTTAGTCAGATACATTTTATGACTAGTCTTGGCCCAGAGGGAAGTCTTTGGAAAGTCTGAGCAAAATCAGTTCAGCAATGGAAAAACATGCTTTTATGTTGAAATATTTGCATAATTCAAAAACAGCTGAAGCTACAAACTTTAAACTTGGCTTGTTTTATAGCTTTAATAGAGGAAAGAAAAACAATCCAAATTTAAAGAAAATCATTTCAGCATTTTTCAAGTTATGAATGATGAAATCTGGCATGTTCAGGCGAGAACATAGAATTTTCCATTCTTTCGCCCCCCCAACGTTTGCAAGACCACCTCTATTAAGGGCACATTTGTAATAACCTCATTTGTCAGAACATGGCAGCAAGAATGGATTTTTTAAGGATTCAAGCATTAAAGCCACCTCAGTTAGGGCTTACTAACCACTTACATCTTCTTCAGTTTTTGGGATACATTCCTTGAGAATATTTATGTATTAGTAGTGCTGGCGAATGTGATAGAATGAGAAAGGTCCATCTTAAAAACTTCTTAGTGCACCTACCGCATAGTACATACTGAAATTTTTCTGAATTTCTCCTTGTTATTATTACTTGTTGCTTAATCTAGTCCATAAATTAAACAGCATGTGCAATATAGCCAAATTAGTATGTTGCAATAAAACTTGCAACATTACCAAATTTTAGAGCCTGCCTACCAAGCTTTGGATGTTGGAGTAACACTAGGCATTTGCCACTACCTGTTATCTGAAGCAGAATACTGACCTAAATGGTTGTTGGTGTCACCCAGTACAACCATTTTTAAGGTAATATATGCACGTATGTTCATAAATTAAAAGTTTATGTTTGGATAGAAACAAAACCTGATCTAAGTGAAAATAACAACAAAGGTATGGATAGTATGTTTTTATGAATGATGAAGCTTCTTTTACTTTGTAAGGATATGTTAGATCTTAAATATTTTAGGAGGAGAGTTTTTAAACCGTTTGTTTTAGAAGGGTTGTCAAAACTGTGGAAACTAGAGAGATTTTAAGAGCTGTTCTTAAATCATAATGACATGATGCTTTTGGGGGGAATAAAAAGGACTGATGCTCAAGCATACAACTTACTCTCAACAGAGGTCAGTAGGCTTTCTTTGTCAGGTTGTGCTGCAATCAGAGACCAGCATGTTACCTCGTAAGCCTATCTAAAAAACATAGAAGTATTTATTACTATTGACACTGCTGACATTTTACGGTGGGCCTGTTTGCAGCTTCTCTTTCTGTAAGTTACTGAGTATTGTGTGTTCTTCTCTAAGAAGCAAGAAAAAATGTTATTTTTTTTCTTACTTCTCACAGCTTTCATGCTTAGCCTTCTAGACAGGAAAACCTTGGCTAGCTCTTTTTATCAGACAGCCTTTCTATGTGTTTACACAAACAAAAGTAATGTCTTGGACCTAGGGAAATAGTAGTTGGGTTATATTACAGTGTGTACTCTTTTTCACAGAATTACACACTTACACTCTTCAATATGCATTTATATTAACAAATGGAAAGAAAAGTTCAAAAAACAAAAATGGATTTAGGAAAAAAGGAAATTTTAGTCTGCTAATGGCATGACAAATGAGCCAGAAAGCCCAACAGAATTATTTTTAGTTTAGTTGTGACTTAGGAAACCACAAAACCTAAATTAATAATGAACATTTGTTGATAGGGATTAATGAATAGCAAAGCTGGTAATACCTTTTTGTAACTGAGACCATTTATGCTTTCATGCTGTGTGGGAGAGGAGGTCTGAGCATTTTATTAGGCAGCTGAAACATGTTATTAAAACCTAAGTTCCTGGGTACTGGTATCTTGACTGGACTTGAAAGTGTGTCAACTCTTGCATCTCAAAGAACACATACATGTAAATAGATGTATGTGTATATGTAATGTGTGTGTTTCGGTAATTTCATATTGATTTAAGAAAAAGATGCCTTTTCTAGTCTAATGCGTTAACGCACCAGTTTAGCCCAAAAATTGAGAGTGAAGCTAGGAAATCCACTTTTCCTGTATAATCACTAGTAGTAAGGAATTTTCAATGCAAAACTGTGCCTCTTATTAAACCTAGCCCAAATTTCAGGTGCCACAATGAATTTACATTCTGGCATTCTGAGGAAAAATTACCCCTTTAAGCTGTGAAGAATGCATGTTTGTTGAAGGACAATAAATATGGGCCCTTATCCCATTCCTTAGGACTAGGCAGTATTTCCTCTTACACGGAAGAATTTCTGTATTTGCTTCCCAGATACATATATGTAGATTTAGGAAGTCAGTTTTTGTACCATAATTCTAAAAGGATTCTTGGAGGCATAACTGTTAATGTACAAATCTACCGCTTAGGTGGTGGAAATTACATAATGTTGGGGAGGCAGTATAGAGTGAAAGGCTGCCTTTGGCCTTCTATGACCAGGTGATCCACTTAGTGGATGAGGGAAAGGCTGTGGGTGTTGTCTGCCCACACTTTAGTATAGCCTTTGACACTGTCTCCCACAGCATTCTTCTGGAGAAACTGGCTGCTCATGGCTTGGACGGGCATGTTCTTCACTGGGTAAAAAACTGGCTGGACAGCCAGGCTCAAAGAGTTATGGTGAATGGAGTTAAATCCGGCTGGCGACCCATCACAG